CAGGCATTTTTTTTAAAGTCAGTGAGCCCAGAAAGCTCTTAGCCCAGGAGCAGGAACCTATATGGCTTCCTGAGGACCCCAGGGGTTTCCTGGGGGGTTTATTCTCTTCCCTAGCCTTGCCAGGGGTGGCCCTGGTGACCTGTGGCTTTGGTGGCCCTTGACACCGGTGGGGGTCTGAGGACCATAGCATCACTGAGCCCTTGCGTTGAACTGTCCAGCTTGGCTTGCTTAGTATTACCAGGAGTGGGCCCGGGTCTCCTTCGTACTGCTTGGGATCTGCCCCCTCCCCCCCCCCCCCCAAAAAAAAGTGGTTATACTTGTCAACTTCACAAGTTCAAGTTTCTACAACTCCCCCCCTCCATCTTCTTGTCTAAGAGCTTTTTCTCCAAGTTCAACTCCTCACTTAACTCACCACGGGGGGGTGGGGTGAGGTCATTCATTTTTCTGGGAATGAATTATCTGCAAACACAAAACAAGACAAAACCAAAAACCTGAGATTTCCACTCATTCTCTACCACTTCCTTAAAACGACTTTCAGACCCTGCCCCGAGGAGCTTTCAGGTAGATAAATATTTTGGTTCTCGGGAAGAAAAACCAAACGGCTGTTCATGCCGAGTCATGGCACAGGTCCCAGGAACAGCAAAAATATGTTTTGCTCAGAGAGTAATGATAGGGTGGCCCCGCCCTGGCACTTACTGGCCACCTAATGACAAGTCAGCCTCTCCCCGCGGTTCCTGCCTCCCCAGTTGGGTCTGTCTCTTCCTCGACGTCCGGTTTCTGCACGCGGGTCTGGGTCACGGAAGCTGAAGACACTGGCACCCTGGGCAGGGCCCTGAGGGGTGTTCTGTGTTGATGGCCTTGCCGGTAGCGATTTGACATCGAATCTCCCAGGAAACAGGCATTACTCAGCAGAATCGCAATGCTCCTATGGAGTTCTTAGGCATACCACACACACACACACACACACACACACACACACACAGAGGCTCTTTGATGATGTACCATGCAAACAGCCTCATTCTCTTTTTTCTTTTTTTTTTTGCTTTTTTGGGTCACACCCGGCGATGCACAGGGGTTCCTTCTGGCTCTGCGCTCAGGAATCACTCCTGGGGGTGCTCAGGGGACACTATGGGATGCTGGGAATTGAACCCGGGTCGGCCGCGTGCAAGGCAAACGCCCTCCCCGCTGTGCTATTGCTCCAGCCCCCTCATTCTCTTTTCATTTTATTTCAATTAGGCTACACCTGGCTATATTATATATATATATAATATGTATAATGGGCTGGAGCGATAGCACAGCGGTAGGGCTTTCGCCTTACAAGTGGCCAACATGTCCGACCCGAGTTCGATTCCTCCACCCCTCTCGGAGAGCCCGGCAAGCTACCGGAGAGTATCTCGCCCGCACGGCAGAGCCTGGCAAGCTCCCCGTGGCATATTCGATATGCCAGACACAGTAACAACAAAGTCTCCAATGGAGACGTTACTGGGCCCGCTCGAGTAAATCAATGATCAACGGGAGGGCCTTTACCTTAATATATGTGATATGTATAATATACCATATATATTATATATAATATAGTCAGGAGATTATATTATGGTGCCAAATAAGTGCAAGGCAAATGCCTTAAGCCCCATACTATCTCTCCAACCCTACGTGTTTTTTTCTTTTTTTGGGGGGGGGATTGGGGGAGGAGCACACCCAGCAGTAGTGCTCAAGTCTTACTCCTGACTCTGTGCTCAGAAATCACTTCTGGTGCGGCTCCGGGGGTCCTAAGAGGTACTGGGAATCGAGCTGGTCTTGCACAAGGCAAGCACCTTACTTTCTGTGCTTCCTCTCCAGCCTCCAACCCTACTTGAAAAACTCTGTGGGGCTGGAGCCATAGCACAGCGGGTAGGGCGTTTGCCTTGCATGCAGCCGACCCAGGTCTGATTCCCAGCATTCCACAGGGTCCCCCGAGCACCGCCAGGAGTCATTCCTGAGTGCCTGAGCCAGCCAGGAGGAACCCCTGTGCATTGCTGAGTGTGACCCCTAAAGCAAAAAAAAAAAAAAATCAATAAAATTAAAAAAAATAAAAAGTCTGTTTTGAGGCCACAACCGCCAGCGTTCAGGGCTGACTCCTGTCTCTGTGCTCAGGGGTCTCTCCTCGCGGTGGTTGGGGGAACTCGTGGGGTGCCAGGGATCAAACGCAGGATGGACTCATAAAAGGGAAGACCCCCCCCACCTCCCAGCCTGATTTAAAAGTCGTATTTAATTTTGGATATCTAGGACACATCTGGTGTTGCTCTTGGGCTATCCCTGGTTTTGTGCTTGGGTGGGGGGGGAGGCGTCACTCCTCTTGATGCTCTGGGGAGCACGTACAGATCCAGGGATGGAACCAGAGTCTTCCGCAGTGCTCCAGCACTGGTTCTCATTTATTGCCAAGATGTGTTTCACTGGGTAGCTCCCACGTTTAATTTACCCATGGTGGGAAGTATCCATTTTCCTCCTCACAGCTGCTTTGTTGATCCGAAGGCTTGGATCCAAGCCGTGATGATAAGGTTGGCCCCGGGTGGAACCTGATAGGCACCTGTATCACTCACTCGCACCCTTTCCTTGCCACGACTTCCCCTTTCTGACCCCACCCCCAACCCCGTGCCGCGGCTTCCTCTGCATCCAAGAACTGTCCTTAAGCATTCGTGAAGGGACCTAAGGCGACCTTCACAATCTGGGTGGGGGGGGGGACCAAGGGCTTGGGACTCGGGGCCGGTGGAAACCCTCCAGGGAGTAAGGTGGGGATGACCGCATGGGACAGTCATTCAACAGCTCTGTATGGAGCACTGTACTGTGTTCGATGCACTGTTTATGTGTCGTATGTGTTAGTTAGAGCTCAGAAATTTGGGATACAGCAGTTTGCCAAATATTCTTTGACCCCCTTTTTTTTTGGTGCAGAAGGGGTTGGTGTTCAGGGCTTACTCTTTTTTTGGGGGGGAGTCACACCCAGCGATGCTCAGGGGTTACTCCGGGCGGTGCTCGGGGGACCATATGGGATGCTGGGGATTCAACCCTACCCCGTATGATGTCTCCAGCCCCCCAGGGCTTTTACTTCTGACTATGTATGTGCTCAGGGTCATTCCTGTAGGAGATCTGAGAACCATGGATGGGGAGATGCCCAAACCCCATCCTAGCTCTCGGACCCGACGTTCTCCTTTTCCCGGGGTTGGGTGGGTGCTGTGCGGGTGTCACAGGCCGGGAGACGGACAAGAGGAAAGTGGGGAAAGATGCAGGTGGACAGAGGGGGGGACCACGGCCTCCTGGGGGAATCCCAGAGCAAAACACTCCCTGGAGACCCTTGCGATGGGAGGGACCCACCTGCGCTTCTGTCCCCCACCCTGCATCAGGGAAAGCTGAGCCCGGGCCGCCCTGGACCCCCCCCCCACCGGCCACTGTGCCGTTCAGGAGTAGTAGGAGCAGAAGGCCGGGGTGACCGACCCATGGCCACGTGCTCAGCTGGAGAGGGGACGAGTGAATGCCCCAGCTCCGGCGAAGGAGAGAGGGTCTGTCCTCAAACGCCGGTCTGGGGGGCGGGGGGGCATCATCACGGAGACAGCCACAGCCTCGGCAGGTGCCAGGTGCGGGTCGCACCCCACCCAGCGCCGCAGCGGGCTGAGAAGCCGGGCAGGGGTGCGGGGTGCGGGGTGCGAGGGACGCACGCGGCCGGGGCCGGACTGGGCTGACCAGGCGGGGGTGAGACGGGGCCGGGCGGGGGTGGGGGGGACAGAGAGAGGCCGGGCCGAGCCGTCGGGAGCCCGTGGGAGGCGGGGTCGCGGGCCGGAGCGGGGCGTTGCTGGACTTGGGGGTCGTCGCGGGGCCGGGCTGAGCCGTCGCGGGCCGCGGGCGCCGGGGCGGGCCGGGGCGGGCCGGGGCGGGCGGGCGGCGGCGGGAGCGAGTCGGGCCCGGACGCCCCGCCCATCGCCCCGCCCATCGCCCCGCCCCTCGCTCCGGCGGGCGGCGGCGGCGGGAGAGAGTCGGGCCCGGACGCCCCGCCCCTAGCCCCTAGCCCCGCCCCTAGCTCAGGCTGGCGGCGGCGGGAGCGAGTCGGGCCCGGGCGCCCCGCCCATCGCCCCGCCCCTCGCCCCGCCCCTCGCTCCGGCGGGCGGCGGCGGCGGGAGAGAGTCGGGCCCGTACGCCCCGCCCCTCGCCCCGCCCCTCGCTCCGGCGGGCGGTGGCAGCGAGTCGGGCCCGTATGCCCCGCCCCTAGCCCCGCCCCTGGCTCAGGCTGGCGGCGGCGGGAGCGAGCCGGGCCCGGACGCCCCGCCCATCGCTCCGCCCCTTGCCCCGCCCATCGCTCCGGCGGGCGGCGGCGGCAGCGAGTCGGGCCCTACGCCCCGCCCCTCGCCCCGCCCCTCGCCCCGCCCCCGGCCGGCGCCCGCCCCTGCCCGCCCGCCCGCCCGCCCGCGCCCGCCGCCCGCCCGCCCGCCCGCCCGCCCGCTCCCCGCTCGCTCCCGGGCCCCCCATGCGGATGTGACATTTCACGCCGCCGCCATTTTGAGAGCGAGCCGAGCCGAGCCGCGCCGAGCCGCCGCCGCCGCCGCCGCCGCCCGAGGCCGCCCCCGGAGCCGGAGCCGGAGCCGCAGCCCGAGCCCGAGCGCCGCCGCCGCCGCCGCCCGCGGCCCAGCGCGCCCGGCCCGCTCCAGGCCCGCCGCCCCGGCCCGAGGCGGGGCTGAGTCCGCGGCCCCCGCCCGGCCGCCCTCCGCCCCGCGGCCCCGGCCCCGGCCCCGGCCCCGGCCCCGGCCCCGGCGGGAGGCGGGCCCCGCGGCGGTGGCGGCGGCGGCGGCGGCGCCGGCGGCCCCGCGAGCAGCAGCCGCCGCGGGAGCAGCCGGCCCGGGAGCCGCGGCCGCCCGCCCGCCCCGGCGCCGCGATTGGGCGGATCGCGAGCAAGTACGTGCGCGTCTCCCTGCCGCCGCCGCCGCCCGCCGCCGCCGCCGCGCGCGGGGACCCGGGGGAGCCGCCGGGGGAGGCCGCGCCGCCGCCGCCCGGGCCCGGGCCCGCCATGCACCAGCCGCAGCCGCAGCCGCAGCCGCCGCCGCAGCCGAAGGCGGGCGAGCCGCAGCTCAGCGAGCCCGAGGACATGGAGATGGAAGGTGAGGCCGGCCCCGCGCCTTTGTGGCCGGGCCTCGCCGTCTTCCGGCGCCCCGGCCCGGCCCGGCCCGGCCCGCTGCACCGTCACGCCGCCCCCAGCCCCCACCCGGCCCGCGCCCCGCGCCCCGCGCCCGCCGCCGGCTCCGCGCACGGGGGACGCAGGGAGGGACGCAGGGAGGGAGGGAGGGACGCAGCGGGCAGCCCGGCTCCCCCGCACCTGCCGGACCCGGGCCGGCCCCGACGCCGACACCGACGCCGCCGCCGGGCCCGGTTCCGAGACACCTGCCGGGGCGGCGGGGCCCGAGCATCCGGCCCGCGCCCCCGCGCCCCCGCGCGCGCGCGCTCGCCAGGGGTCGGGGCTGCACGTGGACCCCCCAACACGCGCGCACACGCGCACGCACACCTGCGGGACTTCGCGTGGACAGCCCCCACCCCCCGAAGGACACACCGTCCGTCGTCGTCCGGTTTCCCGGACCCCCGGACCCCCGGACCCCCGGACCCCCGGGGCTGTGTGTGCGTGTTTGGGTCCGTTTCTCGGGGAGGGGTCGCGCGCCCCCTCCCAGGGCCTCCGCTTCTCGCTCTGCTGCTGCGGGCGGGTTTTTGTTTTGGTTTGGGGTGGGCAGGAGCAGAGCTGGGGGGGGATGCATCCCTGCGATGGGTGGGGGGTGGGGGGCGCCCCGGCAGACCAGGTGAGCCACCCTGTGTGTGTGTGTGTGTGTGTCCCCCTTCCGGGAGGAGGGCAGCTCCGTGCATGGCACACAGGGGGGCTCGCCCCCACCGGCACTGCCCCGCGACACACTTTCCCTGCCCGAGAATCGGACACTGGTCGGAACAAGTGGCCTGCCGCTTGGCGAGTGGCTCGGGGGTGGGGCTGGGTGGGGGGCAAGGCCAGGAGGTGGCCACAGAGCCCTGTCTCCCAGCGGGGGTGACCCCAGGCGGCAGAGAGAGGGTCTCTTCCCCCCCCACCCCCCCTCTTGCTGGGAAACCTCCAAGTGTTAACTTGTTTCTTCTCCTAACCTCACTGCCAGGCTGGTCAAAACTCCAGTTTTCTCGGCAGATGCTGACCCTAGAATTCCTGGTCCATGGGCTGGGGGGACCCAGTGCGGGGAGGCTCTTGATCCATCCAGGGCGCCATCCTCCACCAGACCGAGTGGGGTGGGTGGGTGGGTGTGCATGGCCCTGGGGGGGGGGGATGTCCACAATTTGGGGGGAGGCAGGTGGGCCAGGGGAGATGAGGTGGGGGGCTGGGGTGGACTTGGCCGGCAGCTTCCTCCCACCCTGGGGTTGGAGTCCCACTGTCAAACTTCGCTAGGGAAAAAGAGTAACTCCCGAGTTTGGCTGGCGTTTCCAGCGGGTGGCAAAGGTTACCATCGTCGGTACTGATTCCTTAAACTGGAGAAATTTGTTTCTTTCTGCACCCGGGATTCATTATCCCACAGGATCCCCGGTGGGGGTGGGGGGGGCTTCCGCTTAAAGCCCCACAGGTGTGCGTGTGCAAAGCTGCCACTAGTTCAGGGATCCTCCCCCCTCCACCTCTCCACTGGGGTCACTCCCTGCTGCTGCGGTGGGCAGCGAGCGGGCTTTGAGCAGTCAGCAGCCCTGCTCCTCCTCGATCCCAGCAGGAACCGGGCAGGGTTTGATCAGCTTGAGGAAGGGAAGGGCTTTGCCAGGGAGGAGCGGCCAGCCCGGCCCTCCGGGGCTGGGTGGTTTCTTTCTCCGGAGCCCGGGCGACTGGTTTGGTAGGTAGGTCGGGCTTGCTCCGGAGAGGTCGGTGTCCGTGTGCTTCCGCGCTGCCTCTGCAGAGCTGGCGGCCCTCGCCCAGCTGCCTGGGGAGTCTCCCTTGCCCAGTGCGCCGCCGAGGGTGAAGGACGGCGCGGGGAGGCAGGCGGTGTGTGGGCAGCACATCTGCGCCTGGGCAGAGCCCAGACAGAGCTGCAGTTTGCAGCGATAGCAGGGGGGTGGCGGGGCTGGGTCTGACCCGCGCGGGTGACCGTGGCCCCGGACCTGGGAGCCGGGCCCCGTGGAGTCCACAGGCTGTGTCCGGCGTGCTGGCCCCTGTCCACCCCCGCTGTTTGCTCCTGGGGTGGTTCTTGGGCCCCAGAGCATGGGCTGGGAGGCCCGGTACAACGGCACTTGACGCTTGATCCGACTCGGCCCCCCCCCCCGGGCCAGGAGCTGCTCTCGGCCTCTGCCGGGGCCCAGGCTTGGCGTCGCGCTCGTGTGGGTAGCTGCCTTTCAAGTTCCGTGACTGCTGTAACAGGTTTGGGAGGGGAGAGCGAGTGCCCCGGTGCAGGTGTGCTCCCAGCTAAGCGAAACCACCTGAGGAGGTCTGAGATGTCATTTTCCTTCGCAGAGAGCACCATAACGAGGCAAAAGTCAAATAATCCGAAGATAGTGGTTTTCCTCTCCCATCAGCTTTGTTGGTGAGAACTCGGGGGAAGCCACGGCGGGATGTTCAGTGACCTGGAGGAACGGGAAGGTGGTGCCGGAGGGGTCCGGGCCCCCTGAGATTCTGTGGGTGGGGGACTCTGGCCCCCCGTGCGGGCCCTGAGCGCAGGCGGGCCATGGCAGCGGGCAGGGCAGGGAGCCGTCGCCGCCTCTGGTTCTGTTCTCGGGGAGGGTCAGCTTGAATTCTCCCAGCGCCCCGTGCAGTGGACAGGAGCACAGGCGCGGGGCCATTTGGCCCCGAAAGTGGACTTTGCCTCCGAATCGAATCGGTGTGTGACCTTGTGTTCCCATGCTGCGGTGTGTGCCTCCCAGAGCACGAGGCCAAGCCTGGCCGCGGGGAGAAGGAAGGCAGCCGTGCCAGGCCCCGAGCGGGGGGCCCGGGCAGGCTCCTGTTCGTGGGGGGCCTGTGTGCCATCCGTCCTGCTGGGCATTGATTGGGGCGACACCTTCCAGCCTGTCGGGACCTCTTTGAAAAGTTGAGCGAGTGGCAGAGAGGAGATGGCTCGGCTCCGTCCCTGGGCTCGGGGAGCCGACACCCCATCCTTCGGGAGCCCCGCCTCCTGGGCTTGGTGAAGCCCTTCTGGCGTTTCCAGCCTGACCCTGTTGCCTCGGCCTGGGACCTTGTGGTGATCTGCCCCCCGATCTCTGTCCTGAGCCCCGGGGGACGGGCCGCCTGGCTCCGGGCCCTCCCGGCCACCTGAGCCTCCTGTCCAGCGGCGGCAGTGGCCACCTCGCCCCGCCGGTGGCCTGCCCGCCTGGCAGCGGGGCGGGCAGGGAGGATCGGCGCGGCTGTGTGGGAGCCATAAACTCGCGCTGCTTTGAAGGCTGCAGTTTCAGTTCGCTTTTATGGCTTTTAATGAAAGTGGCTTCAAAAGCCCGTCCCCGGTCCCGTTGGAAGGGAACCTGGTTTCCCAGACAGCACGCGGCCAGCGGCCCTGGGTGCGTCACGGGGGGCTGGGCAGGGCGAGACGGGTTTCAGGGTTTGCCGCTGTCCTCCTCCTCCCTGGCATGTCCCAGGGCCGGGAACGCGGGTGCTCGCTCGCCAGGGCAGAGAAGCAGTGCTCCAGGTGTCTCCGGGCCTGCGCGGTGACAGAGTTCCGTGTTAAATGTGCCCTGTGTCGTCGTTGCCTGGTTCTGGCTTCAGAAAGTCGGAGGGAGCCGAAAGCGTCACTTGGGCGCCGGCGAGAGAGTCGTTTAGGCCGTTTTCCGAGTAGGTTAACACATGCCTGGGCTCAGGAGAAGTCAGGCGTGTTGAAATCCTCCCCGAGCTGTGGGGAGCAGGTGAGCGCCAGGGGCGGGCTGCGCTTCTGCTGTGGGTGTAGCTTTTTTTTTTTCCCCCTGGGTTTTGGTGCACACCCGCCAGTGCTCAGGGCCGCCTCCCGGCTCTGTGGGCCAGCCCGAGGAAGCCTGTAGGAAGGGGGAGGCGTGCTCCTGACACCCTGCTCTCACTCCCAGGTGTGTCTCGGAGGGATCGAACCCCTTGCCTCTCCTTCCTTCCTTGCCGCCCCGTCTGGGGTACTTCGGGGAAGAGTTGGGGGCTTTTCCGTGGGAAGCCCTGCGGCGGGGCTGAGGTGTGGAGGCGGAGCAGGGCCCCGAGTCCAGAGAAGACCGGGCCACCTGCCTCACCGGCGCGGCTGTGGGGGATCAGGCGTTTTCTGGGTTCTTAATTGACCCCAGGCGCCTGCTGTTTTGAAAAAGCGAGCACACGCACCGCTCTGTAACGCCTTCAGGATTGTGTGGCTGAAGCGTGCGGGGTGGGGGGGTGGGGGGTGGCGTTTTAAAGTGCTCCCTGTGTGTGTGGAGCCGGTGGCCCAGAGCCAAGCAAACTGAGGTGCTGGGGCCACACCCATCTGGCCACCACAGGCCCGGGAATTCCCCCTGGAGGAGGGCAGTGGGAGCGCCTCGCCTCACCTGGGTCCCGGCCGCCAGGTGTTGCCTGGAACTCGAACCCACTGGTCCCGTGCCCTCTAGGGCCGCGCAGACACAGAACGGGCCCATGGCACAGACCCACCCGTGTCCCGACCCTGGCTCTGTGGTTTCTGTTGGGTTGCTTCAGGGACAGCTCAGGCTTGGACAGGCAGTGCACCCGCTGGGAAAGGGATCGTCGGTGTGTGGAGAAAACGGGTCTCGGCTGGTGGAGCTAGTCAGGGCCTGGGGCGTGTGTGGAGCTGCAGGTTCTCCAAGGCAGGGGGTGTGGGGAGAAGCCGCTGAACCGTGCCGGGCATGGGCCCCCCAGCACCCCTCCCTCCCCCCAGGCAGACCTGAAATAGCATCCTGAAGACGGGCCCTGGCTCGTGGGATGCGGAAAGCGAGAAGCTGGGCTTCATCTCCACGCAGCAGGACTCGCGTGTGGGGCAACGGGAGGTTCTCTCCCGCCTACACAAGCTGCGTGGATTTCCGCAGTGACCAGTGGCCTCGCCTCTGGGGGTGTGTGTGTGTGTGTGTGTGTGTGAATCTTGCTCCAGAGGGCTCCCACGGAGACCTACAGAGATTCTTCTTGGCTTTGGCACCACACCCGGTGGTGCTCTGAAGCGCCTCCTGGTTTGGTGCTGGG